GTCAGACAATTTGTCTAAAGGCTAAACATACCCACTTCTCTCAGTTGTTTTCTTTATTATTTTATGAAACAAATGTATACAACTGCCCAATTTGCACACAATGATTCAAATATTTGCAATTTCAGGCCCCAGATTACCTGTGCAGCCTTTCTCTGAAACTACTCAAATTTCAGAATCTTAGCTAAAGAAAAGGGTCTAAACAATGTAGAATATAGTGAAACAGCTATGTGCCATACCTCACACTGCACACGAAAGCTTGTGTCACAAGTTTGCCTGCTTGTAACCTTCAACTGGATGAAAGGTGCATCACAGAGTAACAATTTTTGAACCAAGATACCTCAGATGGACTAACTTACAGAATGCATCCGATCTATTATTCCTGTGGGATTGGAATTGGGAAAAGTTGTGGCTACTTCAGCACTGCCACACTCAGCCATGGCTATGTGATCATCATTTCCTCTATTTTTCTCAATACAGTTAGTCTTCAACTTACAACAGTTCCTTAGTGACCATTCAAAGTTATAATGCTACTGAAAAAAGTGACTTATGACCAGTGGTGGGATTCAAATAATTTAACAACCCGTTCTGTTCATCATCATCACTGGCGTGACGTGCCTCACATACTCATCATCACTGCATTGTCGTCATCACTGGCACGATGCACCTTGCATATTCATCATCACTGCATTGTCATCACTGGCGCGACACGCCTTGCATATTCATCATCACTGCATTGTTGTCATCACTGGCGCGACGCGCCTTGCATCTCCATCATCACATTGTCATCATCACCAGCGCGATGCGCCTTGCACATTTGTCTTCACTGGCATGACATGCCTCAAGATTTATGGTAACCGACTCGCTGAACTCAACAAAAAATTAGCTATCGGTTCTGACAAACCGGTGCAAGCCGGCTGAATCCCACCAGTGCTTATGACTATTTTTCATTCTTATGACCATTGCAGCATCCCCATCGTTACATGATCAAAATTTAGATGCTTGGCAACTGGCTCATATTTATGGCGGTTGCGGTGTCCCAGGGTGATGTGATCACCTTTTGTAACTTTCTCAAGCAAAGTGAATGGGAAAGCCAGATTCACTTAACAGCCATAATAACTTAACAGACTTAATAACTGCACTGATTCATTTAATAACTGTGGCAAGAAAGGTCGTAAACTGGGACAAAACTCACTTAACTGTCTCACTTAGCACAGAAATTTGGGGCTCAATTAATAATAATAAAGTTGGAAGGGACCTTGGAGGTCATTGAGTCCAATTCCCTGCTCAGTCCAGTTTCTTCTTAAAAACTTCCAGTGTTGGAGCATTCACCTCTTCTGGAGGCAGGCTGTTCCACTGGTTAATTCTAACTGTCAGGAGGTTTCTCCTTAGTTCTAGGTTGCTTCTCTCCTTGATTAGTTTCCATCCGTTGCTTCTTGTCCTGCCTTCAGGCGCTTTGGAAAATAGTCATCATAAATCGAGGATTATCTGTAATTTTATTAAAATTTATAAATACAAAGATAAAAAACTAATGCAAGCTAAGAAATAATAAAGAAAAAAGAAAAAAAAAGCAAGTGACAAAACCATAAGGTATGTATTTTAACTCTTATCCAACCAATTCACTTTATAAATCTTCCCAACATGTAGTGTCTCACAAGTTGATTTCTTATCACTTTGTCCTCCTTCAAAGCACAGCTTGAACAATTACTTCTTGTCTCTTTTCAGGAAGAGTTTTTTTTTTGGTTCCACACATGCCTTCTATAAATCCAAAGTAAAAAAGCTTTTCAACTCACTCTTCTGCTTTATTATTTGTATTTCCTCCTTGATTATTAGAACATAGAGTCATAGAACCATAGAACTGGAAGGAACCTTGAAGGTTCTCTAGTCCAACCCCCTTGCCCATGGAAGAAAACTTTATATCTATGAGCCATCTTGCCATGCTCTCCTCAGTTGTGTCCCATATCAACTGGTTTTAGTTATAAATCCATTTTGGCATTGTTTCCCATAACACTCTTACATTCTGGCATTTTAAAATCCATGTTGAGATCCACATCTTTTTCCACATCATTTTTCTAATCCAACATTTTTTAAATCTTCAAATCCATATTCAAATCACACTCAGTTTCTGTTTTATCCAATAAAATGTGCTGTTCTTCTACATCCTCTGCTATAGTATCACTTCCTTTTGTAAGTAAGCTCTGTGTAAATTGTTCCCAAAGAGCCTTATTTCTTCTGTAGTCAAATAGTATTGCTCCATTGTATTAAAGTGTTTGTTTTCCTTCAAGAACAATCTTTTGTTCTCCCCTTCAGGTCCCCTCTGATCATCTGTTTATTTTCCAATCAACAAAATTTTCTCACAGAAGGATCTCTTACAAGTAGTTTCAAAGACTTCATATACTGTTTTATAAATTTCTAAGCACCCCACAGGAAATATTCTTTCATCTAGCATCTTAACTTTCCAAAATCAACATTTTATTTCCCTTTGTGCTGTTTGTCAAAAATGAAAGTTTCTGTTATTATTCTGTAAAGTTACTTAGGTTTTGTTTTTGTCCTGAATAAAAGGAAAATCTCCCAGTTTAATACAGTTTGTCTTTTGGAAAATTCTTAACTCCAAAGAAATCAGTAATAAGCAACTTGTAGGAAGTGACCAGGCTGAGCCTGACAGAAGGGTCAAATGCATCATAAGTCATGCGTCCCTGCACGCCCACAAGAGATTTAACTCCAGCCCACCTTGAATGCCTCTCTTAACTCCCACTTATTTCCCTTAACTATCAGCTGGTTAGATTCTTGTAGAGAGCTTAAGCTTGCAATAAGTCTTTATACTCATTTGAACTGCTTGAATCTACTGATTTCTCCAGTGCTTGACACAACTTCCTAAAGAAATTAAGAGAGGAAGTATAGGTGAACTCAGTGATTCTTTGAAAGGCACTGAGTGTGGCTTAGGCAGGATAAATATTTCCTGTCAACCCCACTGGAGAACACTGTTTTTTCAATCTCTTCGTAGGAAGGATCTGTATGGAGGAAGCAACGGGTGCATAGGAGGCACGACAAGGGTCAGAGAGGGTGTGCCACAATTCAGCATGGATTGGGGAAATTGCACATGGGTGTGGTGTGGGTTGGGAAGAATGTGCAAGTGGGGCAAACATACCAGATCAACTTGCAACCTTCCCTGTTGGCTTTTCCATTGACTTTCTCCCTGCAAGCTTCCCACAAGCAAAGTCAGTGGGGAAGCTGGCGGGAAGTCAGAAATCGTCCCCATTTCCACTGCTTTTTTTTTTTTATCTCCCTGTGATCATTCTATTGATCTGTTTAGGTTAAGTAAATATTTTTGAAATGATGACACATCTGAAACAATGACCTGATGGGTCATGGGTTGTCTAGTTAGATCTAATACACTGAAAGTCAGGGGCACACACATACACAATCTGTTGCAGCTTTAGAGATACTTTCAAAGAATTGGTTAGGGACTCTTGCTTTCAGTTATACTCTGGAACTTGGATATAAGTCTGTTTATTCACTGAAACTTGCAACTGCAGTTCTTAAGAACAACAGCTCTTAATAACTTAATAGTCTTTTGGCATCGGTAGGTTTAACAAAGCTATTTCTGCTGATTCATCATACTGAGGATTCTTTTTTGCAAGCTCTTATAGAAAGCAGTGTCAGTGTAGTTTTCTAGCTAGATCTGAATAGGATTGGCTTTGGTTCAAATCCCAAATTGTTATTTTGCTTACAAAATGTGTTATAGTGCAAAAACCCATTTTAAACATACTGTAACTGCAGCATAATGATCACTTACATTGTAGCAAGAAAGCTGCTAGTCAACTTTGGACATAATTCTAAAAGCACTGTAAGAATAAAGCAAACTATATTTTGCATAGTTATAATATTACATATACTTCACCATGTCATTGTGATATTTACGTTGATTTGTTTAGGTCACTGTTCGAGGATTCAAAAGTGGGGCTGTGGGGAAGAGCTGTTCATAGAGGTGCTGCTGGTGGTCATCCAATCCACCTACTAGAGTTTAAGCTTGTGTCAGAAAGGATCTTATCCACGCACTGAAATCTTGGGCGGAGCTGCTTAGTTCACTGCCTTTGGGGCCATTGCAGTGGTGGGATTCAGCCAGTTTGCACCGGTTCAGTAGAACCAGTAGCTAAATTTTGCTGAGTTCGGAGAACCAGCTGAATGCACACTGCTTCCGGAAGTCCAGTTTAGGCCTCAGAGGTCTGGAGCAGGCCTCCCAGGCCTAGAACAGCCTGCAAGAAGTGCATGGATGCCACTTCTGGAAGTTCATTTTATGCCTCAGAGGCCTGGAGGAGACCTCCCAGGTCTAGAATAGCCCACTGGAGGTGCATGGATGCCACTCTGGAAGTCCGTTCTACGCCCTGGAGGCCCAGGTCTACATCCAATAAGAGAACTGGTTGTTCAGGTATTTGAATCCCACCACTGGGCCATTGTATATACAAGGTAGTCCTTGACTTACAACTTCAGTTTAGCCCAGAATTTAGGTTGCTAAGTGAGAAATTTGTTAAGTGAGTTTTGCCCCATTTTACAATTTTTCTTGCCACATTTGTTAAGTGAATCACTGCAGTTATTAAATTAGTAACACGGTTGTTAAGTGAATATGGCCTCCCCATTGACTTTGCTTGTCATAAGGTTGCAAAAATGATCACATGACCCTGGGACTCTGCAACTGCTATAAATAAGAACCAGTTGTCAAGCATCTAAATGTAAATCACGTGACCATGACGATGCTGCAACGGTCATAAGTGTGAAAAATGGTCATAAATCACTTTTTTCAATGCCATTGTAACTTCAAATGGTAACTAAATGAACTGTTGTAGTCAAGGACTACCTGTCCTCTACCATGGAGAAGGATCTCCACATATTGGGGAGCTCCTAATCCTCTACAAAATTGCATTGTTGGGTTAATGTTGGCCTTATGCTACTATAATGTTCAGTGACTTTTGATTGCAATTAATTTTATGTTGTTAATTTTCTAGTGAGAAGCTGGATGGAAAAACTAAAAGACAAGGTAGGGAGCTCTTCTCAGAATGATTCATTTTAAAATGCACTGTATTTTTCTTTTATTTTCAGAAATCTGCTATGGAGAGATGATCTTTTAATCCAGCGGTCCCCCAACCTTTGTGGCTTGGCGGCCTAGCTGGGGGGGGAGGAGAGGGGAACCGGACCATGTAGCCCCACTCATATAAGAGAGAAGAGAAGCCTTTGAGGCACGATTTCCTGCTCCCTCAGACTCAGCGAGGCTGCCTAACACTCCCAAAGCAGATCGGGTGTCCTGCGCAGGTAGCCTTGATGAATCAGCAAAGCTGAGCAGGGCATCCTCATCTTAGTCTCTGCTTTCACTGCTCCACTTTTGAAGCATTGGGAGCAGGCAACTTGGTGGCCCGGCTGGAGGGAGGAGAGGGAACCAGGACGTGTGAGCGATGGGCCAGCGCTCACATAGTTCCGTTCACATAAGAGAAAAGAGAAGTTTTTGGGCGCCGCTTGTGTGAGTGGAGCCGCACACTGGCCCACCTCTCATGCAGCCTGGTTCCAAATAGGCCACAGCCCAGTAGTGGGCCGCAGCCCAGGGGTTGGGAACCTCTGTTTTAATCCATGGCTTTTGATAAGACTCAGATACTTTCTGGATGGCTGAAAGCACAATGATGAGGTGAATGATAACCATGAATTTCCATAAGTGGTGTCATGTGCATCATGGTCATTGCACATCACTATGCGATGGTGTCAAAATACATGTGCTATTATGCTGGAGTCCTGTGGTCATTTGTGCTTCTCAAGCCTTGGATCCAATTTTTATAATGACATCTTCTGGGTTATGAGTGCTATAGAATTCTGAGATTTACAGTTTGAACACATTTCAAAGGGAAAACTGTTTTGGTCTATCATACCCTCCCTTTTTCTTCCAGACTACTACCGGGAGTAATTTTTGCTACAGGTCCTGGATTCTACCCTCTTCTCTAAGAATTAGTAGAAGCAGAATAATGTGTGGAAATACTGTGTATGCCCCAATTCCGCTAATCACACCCAGGATTTACTGCTTATATATCTGGAGCTTTGCCGTCCCACAGTCTTCTCGATATGCAATGTATACCTAAATATTGTGTAGTTGATGCATTTATTTTAATTAGATTTTCCCATAGTAGAATCCACAGGGGAAGAGAGCTAAGAGATGCAGGAATCCTCACTTGGGTTTTACAATTCCTTTGAGGGGTGAAGTAAAGTTGTTTGAGCACTTTGCATGTAGGTTCTCCATAATGCCAGAAACAAGTGCAGGACAGTACATGTTTCTTCCAGGAAGGAAGCAAAGCCTGTTTCTCAAGTCATAACTAGGAACTGAAATTTGAGTGTTTTACAGTGCTTTAGCAGTGGTTTGCTGCAGAGGGTATCAAGAGTGAGGTCTGCAGCAGATGCAAGGTATTTTCACATACGATAGACTTTTGGACCAGTATTCTTCAGCCTTAGCAACATTTATATCAGGGGTCTTCAAACTTGGCCCTTTTATGATTTGTGGACTTCAACTCCCAGAATTCCTCAACCAGCATGCCTGGCTGAGGAATTCTGGGAATGGAAGTCCACAAGTCATAAAAGGGCCAAGTTTGAAGACCCCTGATTTATAGTGAATGTACTTCAATTCAGAATTCCTCAGCTGAAACCTACACATCTTAAAATTGCTAAGGTTGAGAAATACTGATTTAAACTTAATATAGACTTCTCTGAGCTTGTCTCCTTTAGATGTGTTGGACTGCAGTCCCATCACTGTTATTTTATTTATTTAATTTCTATAGCCACCCATCTCAACTGACCCTGGAAAGCAAAAAATTCCAAAACAATTAAAAACAATACAAAATAAATACCTGTATAACAGCTGAGAAAAACACCATAATAATTTACTTATCAGTAAAGCCAAAAAACAGGACCCTTCACACTTTTGGACCATGAGATTCAGGCACAGAGCCAGTTTTTAAAGCCTTATGAAAGGCCAGTAGGGTTGGGGCCATCCCAATTTCTGAAGGGGGAAAGTTCCAAAGGGCTGGGGCTACAGCAGAGAAGGCATGTTCTGGGCCCTGCCAGCTGGTGTTCCTTGGCTGACAGGACCCTCAGCATGCCCAACTTGCCAAACCACAGGTAGAAACTGTTGGGGAAGAAACAATCCCTTGGGTAACCTGGTGCCAAGCAATGTAGGACTTTAAAGGTGAGAACCAGCATCTTGAATTGCACCTGGAGGCACATCAGTAACCAGTGCAGTTCAAGTGGTGCTACATATGTCACATATCTGACACAATTTAGTACATGTGCAGCTGCATTCTGTACCAGCTGAAGCTTCTGGATGCTCTTCAGGGACAATCTCAAGTAGAGCATGTTGCAGTAGTCCAAGCAAAAAGTTATGAGGGCACGGGTGACTGTGAACAGAGCCTCTCGGTCCAGGAATGGACACAACTGGCACACCACCTGAAAGGCTATCCTAGGCCTGGCTGCCAACTGCTCTTTGAGCAGGAGCCATGAGTCTAGGAGGATCTCTAGATTGGGTCCATCAGGAGCAGTGCTACCACATCCAGAACCAAAGGTAGAAAAACCTTGTCTCCAGAAGGCCCAAATACCCACAGCCACTCAGTCTTGCTTGGGTTAAGTCAAAGCTCTTTGAACCTGCAGATGCTAGACAAATTCTCATTAAACTTTAAACTCATTAAACTGGATAAGCAGGCTGTCTTATGAGGTTCGTAGTCTCATACATATGAATGGCAGCAAGTTGGGGAGAAAAGCTTACACATTTCCAAGCACCTCAGGCCATTGATTGTGGTTATTTCCATATGAACCTAAAACAAACCAAGGACCCAGGTGTGGCTATGTTCTTGTGGAGAATGCTCAATGGCCAAGAAATCACTTGCAAACAGCCCTTCTGCATGCATAACTTCCTACCCATACCTCAGAATATATATATTTATAAATGTAGAAGCAGCGCCCTATCATTTTACTGGACAAAATGCAATTAAGCTTTCCCCAGTGTGGTGATTTCCTGTTTAAGTTGCTATGTCATCTCTGAGATTTTCAGCCAACATGGTTAGAAAGCAGTGGGAATAGTTGACCTGTAGACCTGAGACACCATGTGGCTACTAGGCTGATGAAGGCTGACTAATCTGTAAAGAGGCCTTGCTGGTTGTTCAGAATTGGGCTAGACCCATCAGTATACACATCTTCACCTATTTGTTTCTCATTTATTCTCTTTCCTTTCCTCCCTGCTGACTTCTGCTTCGTGAATCCATGAAACTCCACTGTCAGCCCTATAAGGTAGAGCACACTAAGATATCAGTGCCATATTGGTCAGAACTACTTTTCCTGTAACAGCTATAGTAACAGAACGTTTTAAATCTAAGTTCTGCCCTGAACCTCCTTATCTTTGTGTGAATTTGAGAAGGGTTTTTCTGAGATTTTTTTTCAAACTTGTAGCTCTTCCTCTTGTCCTCTAAGGCCATTCCCTAGGCCTTCTACCTCCACACAGGCTTATCTAGGTGTAGAGCTTTTTTTTTTTTTGGTAACCTGTATGTTATTCAGATAGTCCACAAATTATGATCGGTTGCTGAGCAACTGTTTGAAGTTACAACGGACCTCCCCAGGGGTACATACGATCCATTTCTAAAGTTTTGATGGCCACTCCTCCCATGGTCACATGACCACATGTCAGGGTCTTGGCAACTGGCCGTTTGCAGTACCTTGTGGTCATGTGACTGCGTTTTTACGATGGTTTTATTGAAAACTGTTATTTACTTCTGGTTTTCAGCAAAACCACCCATGGTGAGCAATGGGCTTGTTTAACAACCAGGGTGTTTGCTTAACCACAAAAAAGGTTGCAATACTGGGTTAGTCACTTTACAATCATCACAACTGTTGACCATAATGCTCAGGCTTCATTACCAAGATAAGTTGAAGACTTACCTGTATTCAGCTGCCAGACCATACACAAAATCACATGGAACCAAAATTTGGAAGACAAATCAGCATTTTTTTAAAAAAAAAAATGGTTGTTTTGTCAAAATAAATAACAAAGTTATCCTCAAACTTCAGCCTTATTTTTCCTGGAGAATAAGGAACAAGCTTTTGACAGTCTCATTTCATCCAATTAAGGTCTCTCCGAAGTACCTCTCAAATCTGGCACACCAACCAGTGATATGATCACTTTTAGGGGTGTTCACAGAATAGGGTCAAAAAATTCAGGTGATGGCTTCAAGAGTGTCATTGAAGGTTTGCCTTTTTTAATGTGCATTGCATTTTCGCGACATATATAAGAAACAGGCAAAGCTTCAACAACAGTCTCAAAACTGCTGTCTTGACTTTTATGACCCTACTCAGTGGACACTCCTGATCACATAATTGACCAGGGCCCTTGCCTCAGAGGTAATGATTCAGTATGAAATAGCTTGTCCGGTTTTGGTTTTGTCCCTGGCTAGAAAGAAGCTGGTCTAATACTGCCCTACATGAAGGTCTGTCTACAAACTGCCCTACATGAAGGTCTGTCTACAAACTGAATACATGTTACATTAAGCTTGGCATATTTAGAAATGTGACAGTATCACTACTTACAGGGGGTCTCTCTGTTCTTGCCTCCAGAGGTTGTGGGTGCTCCAACACTGGAGGTTTTTAAGAAGAGACTGGACAGCCATTTGTCTGAAATGGTATAAGATTTCCTACCTAAGCAGGGGGTTGGACTAGAAGACCTCCCAGGTCCTTTCCAACTGTCTAGAGCAGGGGTAGGCAACCTTGGCTCTTTTATGACTCGTGGACTTCAACTCCCAGAATTCCTGAGCCAGCTATTCTGGGAGCTGAAGTCCACAAGTCATAAAAGAGTCAAGGTTGCCTACCCTTGGTCTAGGGCAGGGGTAGGCAACCCAAAACACTCAAAGAGCCACTTGGACCGGTTTCCCACCAAAAACAAAACACCGGGAGCCACAAAACCGTTTTGATATCTAAAATGAAGATAACACTGCATATATCCTTTTTTACCTTTATTATAGGGGTGTGTGTGTGTGTGTGTGTGTGTGTGTGTGTGTGTGTGTGTGTGTGTATGTATATGTACACGTTAAAAATAAAAGTAAAAATATGACTCTTGGGAATATCCATACTATTAAAACAATGATCACCAAGAGAATGCTTTAAGAGAATAAAATTACATACACACAAAGGTAAAAAAAGGATATATGCAGTGTTATCTTCATTTTAGATGTCAAAAGGGTCTCTCTCTCTCTCTCTCTCCCTCCCTCCCTCTCTATTTGCCCTTGGTCTGCCACTCCTCTTCCCCACTCTTTCTTTCTCTCTCTCTTTCCTCTCTCTCTCTCTCTCTCTCTCTCTCTCTCTCTCTCTCTCTCTCCCTCTCTCTCCCTCTCTCTCTCTCTCTCTCCTCCCCCCTCCTATCTGCTGCTCACCTGGCAAGCTTCAAGCTGTTGTCCAACAAGCTTCAGGAGTAGGCAACCTCGTCTCTTTTATGACTCATGGACTTCAACTCCCAGAATTCCTGAGTCAGCCTAGCTGGGCTAGCTAGCTCTCTCCTGCCCTTCCTGCTTCCTGCTTCCTGCAGAGACGCAGGGAGGAGCTCCGCCCAGGAAGCTTTTCGGCTCCTCGGAGAACACTGTGAGTGCACTCTCTTTTACACATACACACACACACACAAAAAACACACACAGACACACACACAGAGAGAGAGAGAGAGAGGGGGGGGGGCAGGGAAGCGCAATTGCCTCTCTCTGTCTCTTTCTCTCTCTGCAAAGGCAGAGGAGGCTGGGAGCCACAGGGGAAGGCTCAAAGAGCCGCATGCGGCTCCGGAGCCGCAGGTTGCCGACCTGTGGTCTAGGGGGAATGATTAAAAAAGGGATGGTCTTAACTGCAATGGTGCAACAGAAGTTCCCATCATTTTTTTTATATATATATGTCATACATATATGTGCCAGCTTTAATTATTTTTGTTAACCACAATCTGGAACAGGCCCCCTGGCTGGTTGGGCTTAAGCTTAAATAAGGAGTACTACTTATCTCCTCCCCTTGCCCTAAAGAATGAGGGTGAGAATAAATAGTGGGGCAAAACTTTCAGCCTAGACCAGTTTTTGCTTTGCTGGTACTTTTATCTGGGAAGACCCACTTTTATATTCACATTATTTTTCTTCTGTTCCTAAATATTATGTGCCACAAATGCACCACCCACTTCTAGCAGGGATGAATTGAGAAAATAAGCATAACATCCAAGACATTAAAGCAAATACTTGTTTGCAATGGGAATATGCAGAGTGTTTATGCCTTTATTTTATGCTTTGTGTTTCTTCCCTATCAGCAACATTCATTTAAATGCTTCTCATAAACTGAGACATTGATCCATAAGTTTATTGCTCTTATTATTATTATTTTGTTTTAATTTTATTATACTGTTAATACTGTTTTGTTTTATGGTACAAGATCAGCATTCATATTTATCTTTTGTTAACTGTTTTTCTGCTGAAAGCTGCTCTAATTAGTGTCATCCTAAAAGAAACCTAAACAGTCTTAAATGCTTAAAAGTGTAGGTTGTTCTGTTTGGGGAAAGAAAGCAACTTGTAAAATACCAGAATTTTTCCAAAATTATTCCAATTGAAGAACAAAAGATAGGTATAAATGGAAATTAAGTAGAAATTAATTATCAAAAGCTTTTGGAAGGAAAAAAACAACATATTTATATAACATATAAAGAAATAACACATTTCTTTATATACATCAGGATGGACTGATGAAATGTATTGGGTTCACTGCTGTATATGCTGAAGGTACTGTGTGTCAGTATTGCCAATACTTCTGGCCCACTGCTGCTCATGTGAAACAGCTGCATTTTTTTTAAGATGGAGTATAATCAGAACTTTATGTCTTTTTTCAGTTCTTTGCCCTATAACACAGCAATGGCAACTAGCAATAGCACTTAGATACCGCTTCATAGTACTTTATAGCACTCTCTAAGTGGTTTACAGAGTCAGCCTATTGCCCCCAACAATCTGGGTCCTCATTTTACCAATCTCAGAAGGATGGAAGGCAGAGTCTACCTTGGGCCAGTGAGAATCAAACTGCTGGCAGTTGGCAGAGTTAGCCTGCAATCTGCATTCTAACCACTGCCACTATAGCTCCAATTTATATAGCATTGTATTTCTGTGGTTTAAAAACGTGGGAATTACAGGTAGTCCTTGACTTACAACCACAACTGAGCCTAAAATTCTATTGCTAAGGGAGACAGTTGTTAAACGAATTTTGCCCCATTTTACACCTTTCTTGCTATAGTTATTAAGTGAATTATCACAGTTGTAAAGTTAATAACACAGTTACTATGTTTCCCCATCGACTCTGCTTCTCAAAACGTCACAAAAGGGGATCACATGATCACATATTACTTTCTATGTTTAAATGACAGCAGAGCAAAGTAGCGGTACGGTTGCTAATAGCTGGAAACATGTCTGCAAGAAGAGAGTTCAATTGTTTGAGGTCTGCAATATTAATAGTGGCCAAACAATTAAAAGCATAAAAAAAAAATCCAGCTTGACCTGATGGTTACTTGCAATTCTTCTTCCATCCTTCCTTCCTTAGGCAGGATATATGTCTGGGATGCTGGTCCCAGTGGGTGTAGGCATAGCTGGAGCCCTTTTCATCCTGGGAGCACTTTATAGCATCAAGATCATGAACCGCCGTCGCAGAAATGGCTTTAAAAGACATAAGCGAAAGGTTGGTATTCTTCTTCAAATGCTATGAAATGGCTTGAGTTCTCTCTTTGCCCCAAATGATTGCTTGCTCCTAAAAAGTGAGTATTAGTCCTGCCTTAGGCACAAAGCCAGCTTGGCCAGTCACACTCTCTCAGCCCCAGAAAGGAGGCAATGGCAAACCACTTCTGGAAAACTTTTGCCACTTTTGCTTGAAGTTAAAAACCGACCCAAAAGCGCACGTGCACATGCGCAAGCAAGCACGCGCGCGCGCACACACACGCACACACACACGCACGCACGCACACACACACACACACACCATGATTATATGCAGACTTTTCCAATCCAGTGTGCTCCAGAAATGTTCAGCCATAATTTCCATCATCTTGGCATAGTAATCCAGTATATCTGAAACACACTAAATTGGGGAAGACGGCATGATAGAATGCACACTGGAAATCTAATCTCAGTCCAAAAAATGTATAAAAATTGGTAATGGAACATACACAAATAAGTTTGTAGGTGATGTAGTTTGTAGGTGATGTAGAATTAATGTTGTCTTTCTGCTTAATTTGAATTCTGCAGTGTTTATAAAAACTGGAGAATGGTGTAACTGAGTCAGGTTTTCTTAACCTTTGTAGAGGAGGATTTTTTTTTTATCAATGACATTTCAATATATCATAATCTTTTTGGCCAAACCTTTGTCACAACAAGAGCTGGACATTTTCTTTTCTAAGGAAAAGGAATGTTTTGAACTCAGAGTACCATGTAAGTCCCAGAACTGATTGTCCTCCAGCCTCATTAATCAAAGACACAATATTGTATTAGTATTTATTTTAGATGAATTCTGCAAAAGCAAGAGTGAAATCTGCAGCACAGGGCAGCACAGGGCCATGCATGTTAACCCCAAATCAAATTCAGCTGTAGTCGGTTTACCACCTTATAAGTTGTTAAAAGCTGCAGGGCAATTAAACCAATCATCTTAGTTCAATCAGAATGAACTTATTGCTTGATCTGTTATATCTCATACCATTTTGTGTTTGCTAGCTTTTGAGATGGGGCAAGGTATCCTAAATATCTACAAAGCACCTGCTTTGGTCTTGATAACTCTGCTCTTGAGCTTCTCCAAATTTATAACTAACCCAGCCTTCCTCCAACTGGTGTCTTCCAGATTTATTGGTTTTCACCTCTTTGGATATGCTGAACTCCATCATATGTGGAAGAAAGTAGGTTAAAGAAAGCTGCAGTAGCTGAATATTTCAAGGCAGGGAAGAAATAAACAATGGAGAAGTGTGTTTGTCTTCCTTGTTGTTGATGTTTTTCTTTTTATCTTTTTTTGTCTATCTTTTTCACTCTTCACCCCAACTAGCAGAGAGAATTCAACAGCATGCAAGATCGGGTGATGCTTTTAGCAGACAGCTCTGAAGATGAATTTTGAATCCAGCTGCAAAGCTACATCATGTTCTCCAGTGACTTACTTTGGTTGCAAAGGGAAGTTTGCAAGTAAAAAAAAGTCTTTCTGCTGCACCCCAGCGGCCTGCCCCTGTTGTGCATTCACATGGCAGTGTTGCTTTATACAACCGGTCCCCAAAAGGAGAAACACATACACAGCCAAACACATCCCACTCACAGCATGTTGCAGCCTTTCTAAAAACCATGCATTTGTGCAACTTCATTTCCATTGCACTGCATGTTCTTAAGGATAAAACTAACAATGACTCCACTAAGAGTGGGGGACAAGACAGGCTGAATGACAATAATGGTCCTAAGGTTTTAATTTTCACGTTGATGCTAGCAATCAAAATGTCATCCTTTCCCATATTGTCATGGGGAGGATGATTTTGAATCCAAATAATGCTTGTCAATCTCCCACTAGGAAGCCTCTTCTAAGATGTGGGATTTCCTGAGCTGAAGCTCATGGTTTTGAAAATAATTGGCTCTGCTTAATTAACAAAGGGGTCATTTAGAAGCAATCCACCTCATAAACAAGAGAGTAACTATGTAGGTAGAGTACAATGAACAAGCACGTCATGTATATATAGTATATTATGCTTAGGTCCAAACTAGATAGTTACTTACCCAAGAGACGTGTGCTTTGTTTTGTTCATTGTGAAGCAAATGGGAGTGGAAGAACAGTCAGGAGGGTAGGAGAGTGCTTTCACCAGCTCAGTGGGGGGCCCATAAAGATCAAAATACTAAGCAATTGTCACATATGCATGGCATACTTCACATGGCTATTTACTCAGCTCCCACAGCTAAAAACCTCTCCACTGTCTTGCAATGTTCCCAAAGTGATATGGAAATGGTCAGTGTACATTTGATCTGGGAAAGATCATTACTTGGTGCTGTAGCCATCAAAGGATGGCAATGAACCAGCGGTAAACACGTGATTGTGGTGCCCAAATTCCTGATACCTTGAGGCAAAGCACTTTTTGATCTGGGCTAGATGTTTATGGAGATTCTCAATTATCCAGGTCATGGTTGTCCTTTTTCAGGAGGCAACTGGGCTTTCTTTTTTTTCTTTTTCTTTGAAGACGTTTCGCTTCTCCTCCAAGAAGCTTCTTCAGCTCTGCAAAGAAGCCGAAGAAGCTTCCAGAGCTGAAGAAGCTTCTTGGATGAGAAGTGAAACGTCTTCAAAGAAAAAAAAAAAGGAAGTCCAGTTGCCTCGTGAAAAGCACCTTTGGGTTAAAGTTTAGAGCACACTTTTTTATGCACTCAGACAAAAGCCAAGAGTTTGGAGCATATCCCTTTTCAGTTGCTTTAGGGTTCAGCAAAATTTAGGGCTGATAGTTCCGTATACATCTATGTGTCCACAAAGCACCCTACCCCATTTTGCTTCTTTTTAATTTAGCACTTCCAGTGAAAGCTGGCATTCTGTGGAACCACCCTCTAACATTCTATTATTTTCTATTTGTTACAAAAAATCTCTAGATTCAACAGACATTTCATTTCTCTTCTTGGAAAATAAACATGGTGGTCACATGTTTTTTTTTTAAATATATCTATTGGCTTAAGGGAAAAAAAGATCCAGTTGGGCACCACTTTTTGTGGAGCATAATAAGAACTATTTTCTCATTGGCCATGTCCACTGCAGAAGCTGTTTCGAAAATAGGCAAGTCTCTAGCAGCAAGTCTCTAGCAGCTATTTCAAGGGAACTCCCTCCAAGAGGTTCAAAATTCCAAATATGCATTGCAAACTAGCCAACAAATTGCCTAATTCAGTCTGATCTATCAGATTCTCTCCAGTTGAGTTGGACAATCATTCCCATTCTTCCCAGTCAACGGGGATGATAGGAATATTTCTATACATCTGGAGAGAGTTACAAGTGGGGAAAGCTGGTCTAATTAATTGTTCCATTTCCTTGGGAATAAAAATGTGCTTCTGACTTTGAGCTTTTCCCACACCAGTTAACTAAACTAGTAAGACCTCTTGTCTTGCTTTCCATAAAAAGACAAGAGACATGTATTAAGCTGAGCTTTTGGTTACTTCTCCCAATTATTATCCATCCTGAGCCAGTACAACTGTTAGGGGTTTCAGGAAGAGGCTACACTCACCAATATTGGCTAAAGCCAGAAATTGGGAATTTCTGCATACCAAACAAATGATCTTCTGCTGAGTTCTGTCCTTTTCTTTCTTTCAAAAGATTGAGAGGGTGAAATGAAAGCTATAACAAGAAATCTTTAGCTTTATTACAATTAAGTGATTACTGTTTCTGATATACTACAACTTAATTTGACCAAGATGCTTTGCCTCTTTGGCTCACATGTTTTGGGAGTCATTGTCTCATCACTTTACCTGGTGGAAGTATGTGTAGATATATCCTTTATGTAGGGCTTCAATTTGATCTTCCAAAACATTTTGGAGGATATTTTTATTTTTTTTTAATGAACCTCCTTAAGTTTATGTAAAAGTGAGAAAAAAGGAGGACAGTTCTGGTCAATGACTTTAGAGTAGCACTATACCACAAAGTAAATAGTATGTAAGCAGGAAAGAAGTGCAAAAGCAGTTGAAATATTTCTAGTTTCAGGCTTCTAATCCATAGAGAACAATTTGTTATCTTAAGGATATTAAACACTATTTTTGTAGAACACACACACACACACACACACACACTACATAAAAAGCAATGTCTTAGTAAGAGAGGCTTCCTAGCATAGCATCCCAAGATTGTAGATGAGGGGGCCCAAGACTTCCAGCCAATTGTAAACAAAACAATATGGCTGCAAGGAATACCAAACTAGGATCATGGACAGCCAAACCAGAAGCTCCCAAGATCAATGGCTTCCAACAAGTGCTAGAATGTGATGTGTAGCACATAATATGTTGGGGTGCCTTTTCTGATCTGGCAAGGCTGAAGGCCATGCATGCACCCAGTGATTATGTGAAGTTGAGATGATAGAGATGACAAAGATGATTCAGAAGCAACAGAATGGACTTGTCATATTTTGGAGGCTTCAGTTGCCTCCCCCCAACCCTAATAAAACCATAAATTGGCTGTTCCTCAATATGTCAGTACCTTTTTTCAAGAATGTCAGTTCAATAAAATAGAGATACTCTTTTGTTCTTCCTCTCCATGTTTGCCAGTTCAGCAGTATGGAATAGCAAAGCCCTCTCTGTATCTTCTAGTGCACGTTCTCCTCCACCCAGTGGCTCACTGCAACACATTCAAAGCAGCCAGTCCAAGCAGTGCAGTCCTGCTCCTTGCAATTTCTCCAGTGGCTCTTTTTGCTGGATCAGATATGGCAAGCCCCAAATGTCATAGGCCAGAGCTTGGGACGTATCCCCCTCTTCCTGATTCACTCCCAGAAGGGACAGAATGACTCAAAATACATGGCATTCCAATAGGAACGGGAGTAATGCTTGATGCCAAGTGTAAGAGTTTGAATGTTTAACTCAGTTTTGATTGCTCTAGCCAGCAAGAGTTCCCTTGTTGGGAGAGACCTTTCCTTCTTGCGCCTTTAACTAGAGCCCAAGGATAGGCAGGGCTCAAGTTAAGGCAGGGATACAAACTCAGTCCCATTGCATGCCAGGCAATTCCTTTTCCATGGCGGTTCAGTCTTCCTGCATCTCGCAACGCAAAAAGCTGGCTAAAACTGGAATTGCTTCTAGATTTGGGAAAGATACCTCTACGGATCTCAGGGCTAGAAGAGAAATATTTTGAATTGTCTTGTTAACATTCTAACCTGTGTAGAACTGGATTCTAAAAAAGAAACTAGGAAGAGGAATATATGTTTCAGTAGATAGAGGGTAGAGCTTGAGCAGAGGTGGAACTCAGGACTCCTAGTCCTGTCATCTGGCTGCAGACTAGCCTTCCACAACCTGGAATCCTCTGGATGTGTCAATGTGCTGGTTGGGATGAGGAGCGGTTGTCCAACATCCGAGCGGCCAAGTGGGAGCTATAGTGATGTCATGATGTGCCTGAACAGTTGGAGTGCACCAGGTTGTGGAATGCTGCTTGGGCCTTTGATGAGTCACTTTGGTCAACCCAATTCTTCACCTTTTGGGTAGGAACAAAAGACCTATCTCACAGGGTTGTTGTGAGGGCAAGCCAATAAAGTTCTGAAGCACTTGGCCATTAAACGTCTCCTGACAGAAATATGTACACATAAAACAAAATAGTGTTGCTTGTAAAAAAAAAAAAAAACCACGGAAGTTTGGCTTAAGAAACAGTTTTAGCCTATCCAGCAGCCATGTGGGCATAAATGATTAGCAGCAGATAAAAAATGTAAGAAAGAAAAAATGGGCTCCTTTTCCTGGGGATATTTGATTTATCTTGGCCTTGTCTAAGGAACACACTAATGAACAAATGATTAATTCTGGGTGATGATTTCCTGATTTTCTCCACTTTGGCTTGCTAAGAAGTTCTCCTAATTGGAAGAAGGGACATTTGGAAATACCTTTGTTTTTAACGACTGAAAGGGAATCAAGTTCCCTTCTGGCTACTCTTAAAACGCCATGGTGCCATTTTTTGGTCCGTCTGGATGATGGACAGATTGGGAACTGCTGCCATCCAGACCGAGTCAAAGGCTTTCATAATGACAACAGCTGGACTCTTGGGGGAAAAGGCAATCCCAGGGGACGCAAATTTGCTTTTGATAGAGGTGGCTGGCAGAGCAAAGCTGAAAGAAGCAGCAAAGAAAGGTTCGTCTTGGGTTCAGAAAGCAAGGAGAGAGAAGCTATCAAATGCAAGAAATGTTTGTTTAAGGAAAGCTGTGCTTAAACAGGTGCAGCATAAAATGCATCTTTAAATTTCATATAGTGGCAGGGTGCACGTACAACGATTAGGGTTGCCACAGCAGTATGGGGGGAATGCCAGAAAAACTAATCTGAAATTGCTGCTTGCTATGAATATATGTAACTCAGAGTTGAGCTGTAGGATTCTTGGTGCTCTGATCTTAGTTGTTTTCTTGCACAGATTTCATTACCTGACTTCTCCGTGCTAGTGAGTGTGGGGTTTGTTCTTTGTTTCTGTACAGTAGTTTGTCCTGCCAGTGCTGGTAGGGGTATGATCTTCTCCTTGGTAGTTCCTTGATTAGGATATTGTTTTCTGCTTAATACCCTAGGAATACCCTAACAATACTGTAAACCTGTAAATCAAGGAATTACTAAAGAGACAAATAAGTAGGCAAACAAACACAAAATAATACTTTAATCAAGAAACTACAAAGGAGAAGACCACACCCACCAACACTGGCAGGACAAGCTACAGTATAGAAAAAGGGAGTGAAACCCATACTCACCAACACTGCTGATGTTAACTAGTTGGGTAATGAAACATTTGTAAGCCAACAACCAAGCTCAGAAAACACCAAGAATTCCCATTGCTGCTCACATAATCAGGAGTTGCTCTTTGGCACTGATTCTTTCCACCAGTGTAGTTAGAAAAATGTTTCTCAAATTTAGCAACTTTAAGACATATGAACTTCAACTCCCAGAATTCCCCAGAATTTTGAGAGTTGAAGTCCCCATGTCTTAAATTTGCCGAGTTTCAAAAACATAGGTTTAGAAGGAAAACAATTGTTCAGCAATTGGAAAAAAAGTTAAAACTCTCTTTTCTGCTCCAATCTCTAATTGCCCTCATTCCTCTTTCCAGCAGCTGCTACTTGCGTTTGCAAAAGGGTGCATTTAAATGCAAGGTTTTCAGTTTCCTTCTTGAACCTGGCATTTATGCTCAGTAGCATACAATGACTACAATTTCTTGGAAAAAATAAAGAACAAGCCTGAAAAGGGGGGAAATCTGAAAGAAGTTCATAAGGATGGCAAAAATGGTTTGTTTATAATTTTGCTTCACAACAGAAAATTCATGAGCAAAACCAAGAAAATAAATAACTAAATACATCCAAAGGAGAGCTTTTAGAAGTGGACTATCCTTTATAATAAAGGACCTATGATAACTTTAGCTCAGTGGTGGCGAACCTATGGCACGTGTGCCAGAGTCGGCACTCAGAGCTCTCTCTGTGGGCACGCGTGCCGTTGCCCCAGTCCTAGGCCTTCAGCTGGGTTTTATAAAACCTTTTTGCTTTAGGCCTCCGCCGTCGTGTGCCAAAAAAAAAAAAAAAGGTTCAATCAAT